ATTTTAATATCGCCACGCCATGTATACAGAAATATTTGAACTAACAATTCTAACTACAATTTGAAGCTATTCGAGGGACCTAATAACCCCAATTTCCGGAACTAAAATAAATTTCTTAATTTCGGAGATATTGACAGCGGGAGTGTTAAATGGTACACCCTGTATACAGGGTGTATCTTAAGCGATGACTTTAATTTCAAGGGGTGATTCCTTGTGATATTTTAAGCAAAAAAGTGCATATGAACATCGGTCCGCAAGTGCTTCGTTACCGAGATACAGGGTGTCAAAGTTGGGAAAATAAATCGCATTTTCTTAAATATCTTTCGACTGATTCGAAATAATTTAATGAAATTTCATACACGGGGGTTTTTTGGAATGGCAAATTCAAAGCTGTGGTCAATTTAGGTGTATTTTTTTGAGGGCGCCAATAATGAAGTAGCTAGGAGCAACCGTTTCCATGAAAAACGCATTTAAACTTAATTGAGCTGGAAATATCATAAAAATTGAATTAAATCAAATGCTCAAAATGAGAACCGCCACTGTCAATACAAGCATGTAATCTTCTGCTCATCGACTGCCGCACACGTTCCAAAATTCCTGGAGTGTTGCGTATGACATTACAAAAACTTACAATTCTGTTTCTTAAATCATTTTCATCTACAACTGGCGTTGCATAAACAAGCGACTTCAGATGTCCCCAAAAGAAATAGTCCAGAGGATTTAGGTCTGGAGATCGTGCTGGCCACGGCTGAGGTCCTCCCCGACCTATCCATCGCTGAGCAAAAGTGTCATTAAGATGTTGGCGAGCAGCAAGACTGAAATGAGCAGGTGCCCCGTCGTGCATAAACCACATGTCATTTCTGGTTGCTAGTAGTACATCTTCTAACAGACCAGGCAATGTTTCAGCTAGAAACTGTCTGTAAGTCTCACCATTCAGTCGAGGAGGAAGAAAATGCGGTCCGATGACATGATCACCAATAACTCCGGCCCACACATTCACCGAAAACTGCTGCTGAAATCCACGTTCTCCAATAACATGGGGATTTTCATAGTTCCAAAAATGATTATTGTGGAAGTTTATGATGGCATCCCGTGAAAAAGTTGCCTCATCTGTGAACAGAATTTTAGACGTAAAGTTGGGATTCTGCGCAGTTTTTTGGAGAAACCATCGACAATAATCTAACCGTGCAGGAAAATCTCTTGGCAACAGTGGTTGCACGCGTTGAATGTGGTACGGATAAAGTAAATTTGTGTGCAAAACCCTCCAAACACTTTGATGACTTATGTTAAACTGTTCAGATAATCTTCGCGTACTACTTGACGGATTAGCTTCCACTTCTTGTAGGATTGCTTCTTCTAGTTGTGGTGTCATTATTGTTCTCGGTCTACCAATACGTTCAGCGTGAGCATTTAAAGATCCAGTTTCGCACAGTCTAGCATGGAGCCTTATGAAAGTTCTTTCTGATGGAAGTGGTCTATTGGGAAATCGTTCCTGGTAAATTCGACGGGCTTGTGCAGCATTTCCATCTGCTAGCCCATAAATGAAATGTATTTGAGCTTGTTCAACGTTATTCATAGTTAACTGCACACTAAAAGATAGTCAACTGACAGGATCTTGTCACTTTTAATGCCAAATATCATCGGAATTTTGTTATCACAGGAACTTTTGTATTCAACAAAAATACATTTCTTTAAAATCTTTTTTAAGCATATAAGGTAGGAGAATCGATTATTCTAGTCCAAAATGGTATACAGGGTAGGAGAAAAAATGTGCGATGGATTAAAGAGGCCGAAATCGTTGCCGGTGGCGCCCTCAAAAAAATACACCTAAATTGACCACAGCTTTGAATTTGTCATTCCAAAAAACCCCTGTGTATGAAATTTCATTAAATTATTTCGAATCAGTAGAAAGATATTTAAGAAAATGCGATTTATTTTCCCAACTTTGACACCCTGTATCTCGGTAACGAAGCACTTGCGGACCGATTTTCATATGCACTTTTTTGCTTAAAATATGACAAGGAATCACCCCTTGAAATTAAAGTCATCACTTAAGATACACCCTGTATAGAACAAACTCTATATACATTATAGGATTAGCTGAAAAAGACTAAAAGACTTGATGGTATTGGATAATATTATATTTATTTTTTTAATTGTAACAATTAAATTGATTTGCTCGCTGGATAAATAACTTAACTTCATATATTTTTCAAATCTTACAAGTAAAGACCTTTAATATTTTTAAATATTCTCTTGATAGTTAAACTCAATCAATCAATAAATAGTATCTAAATAATAATGAATATTTGTGGAACGTCGTAATAAAAAAACTAAAACATAAAATTTACTCAAAACAATATAATTCACATGTCAATTTAAAATCTTAACTAATGAATATTCTTCTGTAATTAAACAAGCAAAGAATAATTTCTGTGATGGAATGTCATTTAAGAATATACAAGGAATGTATAAACTGCATTTATAAAATTACAATTTTGTTAATTTCATTGCAATTATTGAGAACGGATATACAATAAACTACATGACCTACCACAAATTACGAAAACCTCAAACTTTAACTACTTGTATGTGTTACACACATGAGTAAGTAAAAGTACGAATACATGTTTGCTTTATTTTATTTAAATTAGCCTGTATTATGTAGGTTACATTTTTAAGACATGTTTAAATCACTATTTTCCCATTGCGTAAGTGGATTACATCAACTAGTTTCAATGATTCATCAAATTTTTTATCAGATTTAGATGAATTATTATTATTCAAGGATTGCATTTGTTTATTTTGAATATGTATAGGTGTCTAACTCATAATTTGATACAATGCAAGTTAAACTAACAATGTATTTTGGCCCTTTCAACTATTGTATAAATACAGTAAATAATAAAAAATAAACTGACTACGAAAAAATCTGAAACCATTTTGTTGAGCAGTAGGTCACAGTAATTTTTCTTATATATTTTACATAATGTTATAACAAAAGTTAAACGAACAACTGCATTTGTTTTTAATTGTTTCGGAACGCATATAAAATCTAGTTACCGAACTGATTAATATATTGCATCGAATTCTGATGTTTTTACGTTAATTTTAATTTTAACAGTTGAATTAAAATTTATTAGTTTTGTTCGAAAATATCTTAAAAAATAAAGGTCAATATTCGTTTTCATGGAACATTACTCCTGTAGGGATACCAAATCTAAATTTATTTTACTACAAGCATGGGCAATCTTTGGGCAGAAAGTAAAAGAAAGTTATCTATGTGCCGTCGGCATAACATTTCGATTTAGTATACCTATTTCACAAAATTGAGCATATCTGCTGTATAAATTAAAAGTAGAATCTGACCGAGAACAGAGCCCTGAGGGACTTCGGAAGTGACAGGCAAGGAATTGGAACACTATCATCATATCTACAATACTGATAATTAAAATGCAGAATTTTTTAAAAATATAATTTTTTTTGTAAAAAAAGTTTATTCTTCAAAACGCTACAATGCTAAACCAAGATTTGTACTCTTTTGATTATTAAGAAATTACCCCTTAATGTTTACCCCCTTAAAGTTTATGCACTTAGAGACATAGTACAAAACCCAACACAACAAAATCCTTTATTTAAAAATAAATACAAGGTGTACTATGAAGAAGTGCATAAACTTTAAGGGGGTAATTTCTTAATAATCAAAAAAGTTTATATAAACCTTGGTTTGGCAATGTAGCGTTTTGAAGAATAAACTTTTTTTACAAATAAATTTTTTTAACATAGGACACCTTGTATTTATTTTTAAATATAGGATTTTGTTGTGTTGGGTTTTGTACTATGTCTCTGAACTCAGCAAATAAAAATTACATAACGAAAGATATGCCACTTTGACCTCAACTAAATTTTTTAACATAATGGGAGAAAACTGTGACGATAATTGATAATAAATCAATTATATACTACGCAACTGCAATCGGTGTATATAGGTAGAAGTAACCAATCTATGCTAAATTTTTATAGTAGATATTTGGCAAACAGCGTAAGTGAGATAAAGATGTTTTAAAGTTAAACAAATATTTCATTTTTTTATAAGAATATTGGGTATCAGAAAAGTCCCTTCAAACTTTAAGAAATAAGTCTTAACATTAAAAATAATTTCCTAATCCTTTAGTCTTTCATACTCCAAAATTTCAATAAATTTTAAAATAGAAAGTTTTAGCGTTACCCAATTAGAAACTGTATTTCAGGACAATTTGGAAGTATCTGATTTTTCTCACTAATGCTGGCTACAAAAGCTTAGTTGCTTTCCCTTTTCTATTCTGACTAAATTTTTATAATCAGTGCACCACCTTCTATAGAAAGACACTTTACTAATGCCAAAAATGGGGTATTTCCAAGGCATACCTAAATTTTAAAAACAAAAGTTATACAGCTAATAAAAATACGGATAAATACGGCTAAATACGGCTAAACATCAAACATTGAAATAGTAATATATATATTTTTTGCTTTTACAAGCGCTCCACCTATCTGGACTGTGGATTATAAAAATGACATTATTTATTTTTTTAGAAAATTTATTCGTATGCTTTTAGATAATCTGTTATCTTAGTTTAAATAATTAGATATCCAATTATTTTTTATTTATATATAGAGAACATTAAGAAATGTACTTTATTTATTACAACATATTTTAAATGAAATCTTATTTATAATTTAAAAAATGACTATCCGGGTAATGTTGATGTCAAAAGATAAGTCGTGCGTAGGCAACAAGCAGTATGTATTTACGAAATCTGAAAATATTGAAATTTAAATTAGACAAACTTCAGATCCTCCAGCAACAGATTTACAAACACTTTTAAGTTTCACTTCTTTTATTATTTGCACATTTATTTGTTTCAGTAATAGTCTACTATTATTTTTATGAAATTGATTATTAATTTTATCTATTGGATTGCAGACTACCTGAATATAATTATGGACGCTATTGTATTTGTAAAAAGAGGTGCATAATTCTGAATACATGACACTGGAAAATGGTATTTGGCGCACATTGTTTAACAGTTGCAGTAGTCCTGTTAATATCTCTGAATTATGGATTAAGTCAAATGAACATGATAAGGCAATTTCAACGAATTCTGAATGAAACTCAATTGGTAAGTACCTAGGTAATAAAAATTGCAATAAAATAAGAAATCGGTCATGGAAATGAAAAATAAATGTATTTGCAGGACTAATAGACTTTTAGTATTTTCACTTCTGCGGTTTGTATCCAAATTTTTTTTTTTAAAAATTCATCTTAATTACATTTTAACAGTCTTGAGAGCTATGTTCATTCAGAATTTAAAAAATAGCCATAAATTGTTTTGAAAAGATACAGATGCAAATGTTTTTTGTCTATATTTTTAAAACGTCGCTTATCAATTCAGATGCTAGGGCTGCAAAGGGTGATATGCTGCCATGCTGACTATGTTTGCTAATTATTTTAGCTTTAGCTTTTTGGTTATTTTACATCGGCCTATTTCTGCTACTATAGACGCCAGAAGACTAGCAAACCCTAACCTGGAAAATTTACTGAATCCCCACTTTATCGTAGGGTAGGTATTTTTAACTTGCCTCACATTGCTTAAGCAAGGGAGCAACTGTTTTGCATCTTTCCGAGGCATGGTATGTCTTTCTATACGAACCTCGCCTAAACTTGTATAGCTTCTGTGAATACACCGATGTATAGGACACTAGAAGGTGGACTAGCATCGCAAGCCTTTCCTGGATGGTCACCTATCCAAGTACTAACAGCGATCAGCGTTGCTTGACTTTTCATATCATTGATATGAATGCCAAGTCGCTAGGAAGAAGTCGCCCAACGACATAATAATTACTTTTTAGTAAACTTTTTTCACATATTACTAAATTTACAAATTTACATAAAAACAGTGTATTTATTACAAATGGACAATACTTGTCATTACCGGCATTTTAGAAATACCTATAGATGGAATGCAAATTTTTTTCTACATGTTTACCACTGCGAACGTAACACAATTTAGAGTTATAAAACATTGACTGCTTTTAAGGTATACCCCTCTGTTTACACATAGCACAATAATTACATATAAATAAATATAGATTCTTGTTCTATTAATCACTAACAATGATTATCTGAATCTTGTAAATGAATAACTGAACTGATTTAAATTTAAAATGATAGTCTATAATAACAAAAATATGTATTCTTGAACTTGAGAGTTGGAACAAAATTCAAAAAGAAAATAAAAACCTTTTGTATTTATCCTATTTTGTCTGTAATCTAAGAATATGGAAGATGTTTTCGGTATCATAAAATACCCTTAATTCTAAAACGTAGAAGTGGTAGGTCAATCTTGTTCTCTTTTGAAATTAAATAAATAAACATATTTACAATTCGTACATAAATCAAATAAAAACTTACTTTATTTCGCAAATATTTAATAATGGTATTTTTAAAACGACCTCCTCCTTCATGAATAAGTTGCAATTGTAATTTCATTCTTGTTTCCCCTTAATTGTTGTACAATTACTAAATGCGCTTCAACTGAAGTAACGTATAAGACGCTAAAATTTGTATTAGTCTGTTTCGGGATGGGTAAAACGCATATGATCGGAGATTTTTGCTTTAACGGCTTCTGAATAACATCAGAAATCATAATTTTTCTATGCAAATAAAAAAAATGTGGGCTTAATTGTTATTGCAAAAAAGTATAAAACAATAGCAAAAAAATTCATTTTTCTCGTCGACAACTATTCGTTTTAGACAAAAATGGAAAATAAAAAATTTGTAATTAAATTTTGAACAGGATAGAGTTAGTTGCAATTCGAAAAAATAATTATTGTTGCTGCAAAAATCGGAAAAATCATTTAAAAAATTGCAAAAAAAAATTCTTTATTTGTAAATTTTTTTCAGACACTTCATACTTTTTCCAATTAAAGTTATTATTGTATAAAATCATCACACCAAATTTCATCCAATTCGGTTTGATAGTTTTTACATAATAGATAATTGTTAAAATTTTTTTTTAATTAAAAAATTTTCAAAATCAAGTTGCTAAAAATCTAAAGCCTTTAAATACTTGAAAATGTCACCATAAAAATAAGAGCTCTCATACTTAAAAATGCTTTTTGAAAAATTCAAATCGGACGATTTGGTGAGCCGTGGTGATTGTTTAAACATTTTCGCAATTTTCACGCTTATAAACAATTGCAATAATTTAATGTTTTTTCAAATTTTTTTTTATTTTGAGATATGGTTTGAAAGTACACGGAAAGACGAGTATTTAAAAAAAAACCTGATGATCAGCCTATTATTTTCGGAGTTATAGCCCGTTAAAGTTAACCCTTATTTACAGAAAAACTATAAGGATTGTTTTTTGAACTAATAGGTTTGTCATTCTGAGTACTTTCCAGATATAAATTTTCAAAATTTGCAATCACGGTGTCCCATTTAAAATGTCACTCATAGATATTCAAGACCGCGTGATATCAATGAAATATCAGTGGTTGGGGGAGCAAACACAGCTACTTTATTTCGTCGTCAATTTCATAGTAAATAAATAAACATAAAATTAATCATTTTTTAATGTAACTGTTTATCGACATGACAAAAGTCCAATAATTAATTATAAAAGGTACCTAGTTGAAAATATGATAATTGAATTTTTTAAGTTGCGAGACATCAATTTAAAAAAAAATCATCGAAATTGGTCCATTAGAAGCCGAGATAAGTGAGCGTCGCAGTTTTGAACCCGAGAATTCAGATCGGAGTAGCTGTGTGTTTGCTCCCCCCACCACTGATACCTCACTGATTTCACGCAGTCTTGAATATCGTTGAGTGACATTTTAAATGGGACGCCCGTGATTGCAAATTTTGAAAATTTATATCTGGTAAGTACTCGGAATGACAAACCTATTAGTTCAAAAAACAGCCCTTTTATACCTTTATAGTTTTGCTGTAAATAAGGGTTAACTTTAACGAGCTATAACTCTGAAAATAATGGGCGGATCATCAGGTTTTTTTTTTAAATACTCGTCTTTCCGAGTACTTTCAAACCATATTTTAAAATTAAAAAAATTTGAAAAAACATTAAATTATTGCAATTATTACATCTGAACTAGGTTGATATACAAGAGCACTAATAAAAAACATAAATTAAATACACAAAAGTATATAAATGACTTTAACACCTTTATAGCATGAATAAACAAAAAAGAAATAATAGAACACTTTAAAGAAGTTTAACAAAGCTGCAAATGAATCTGAAAGTAATAATTTAAATATAAGACCTTTGCGTAAAAAGAGAAAAATTATAATTTTAAGAAAAATACCCGTATTTTCTTTGAAAACTAGTACTAATTTATAAAACTTCTATTGCTTTAACAATATACCTAAGTACACATAAGTATTTAAAAAAAGTTATAGATACCTATAGAAGTTATGCTAACGAAAAGGGCTGATCTCCCATACCTAGGACGCTGGTTAGTAAAATGCTGTATAATCGAATCAAATTTTTGAAGCTATCATTAATATTGAAATATACATATACCGGGTGTCCCAGACCACCCGTCCACCCCTTCTGGAATCTAAAGTACATGGTTATGTGAAAAATGGTTCAGATGAAAGTTGCTGGTCTCCAAGGGGCACGTATTGTCTGTGACCTTGAAGGTAACTGTCAAGGTCATTTCAAGGTTAACTTAGTTTTTTTTAAATGGAAACCCTTTATTTTCAACCCTAGATTCGGAAAGAGCGGAAAAATCTACGTTCAGCTGATGTATCATGTGTGGAGTCCATTTGACCCCCAAGGTCATGTGAATCTTTCCACCCAAATGGCCCCGTAAAGTTAAGGTTCAGCAAAAATGTATCAGATAAACGTTGCAAAATTTTGAAGTAACATGTTTCGATAACCTTGACATTGATGTTGGAAACAATTTTCAAGGTCATTTCAAGGTCAACTTCGATTTTTTACGTAGCAACCCTTATTCTTAATTTTGGATTCGGAAATAGCGGAAAATTGAAGGTACATGACCTACAAATACATCGGGGGAAATACCTTGGTAGGTACATGATACGTGACCTTGGGGGGGGTCAAACTTAACCCTACATATGATACATCACTGAACGTAGAATTTTCCGCTCTTTCCGAATTCGGAGATGAATATAAGAGTTGCCGTTTAAAAAAACTAAGTTAACCTTGAAATGAACTTGATAATGACCTTCAAGGACACAGATGAGGTCAGGACAATATGTACCCCTTGGAGACCAATAAATTTCATCTGAACCATTTTTCACATAACCATGTACTTTGGATTTCAGAAGGGGTGGACGAGTGGTCTGGGACACCTCGTATATTGTTTTAATGTAAAAGTCCATATCTCGAAAACTGTGCATTTTTTATCAAGATTTATATAAACTTTTTTGCTTATTTTATTACCTGAAAATATCACTTAAAGTTGTATTATATTTGATGACTAAATGATCCAATTTGCGTATATAAAAATACTTCAGGGTATTAAAAGTATATTAATTTTGCAAGTTATTATTGTTTTATAATATAGAATAATACAGAACGGGCTAGTGCATTCACTAAATAAAACTACTTTAATTTACTGAATTTCGACAGAATAGGCATGATGACAGTAACCAAGAATCACTATTATTGTTATATTATGAGTGAGATTGACAATATTTTTTATAAAATAAAACTACAAAATACAGCAAACCGCCATGACAGGTTGAACACCAATCAGAGCGAATTACGTCACATCTATGTAAATGTCATTTTGTGTCATTTGTACTTCGACAATACCCGCAGTATGCATCTTCGTTTAAATATTTTGTTTCCCAACTATCAGTTGCTTAGTTTTGTGTTACCAAAATTATAATCAGGAAACGTTAGGTACTTGAAAAGTTTCTAAAAGAAGCAAAGAAAATAAAGCTCAACAACTGCGAGTTAATAAAATATTAAAAAGACTATGTTTATGATCAAAAGTTTATGAGTGGCATGAGTTAAGATATGGCAGAGTGACGACCTCACGAGCGTTTGAATTTGAACTCTGAAACGCGATAGAATGTTAATGGATGAAGTGAGGAAAACTGTAAGTACCAGTTTGGAGAAAAAATTTAAAAAATGTGGTATAATGCTTTGCAAAAATTATCCCACTATAGCAGAATCGCCTGATGGAATCTATGAAGACAGTATTATTGAAATTAAATGCACCACGAATATGAAGACTTATGTGCAAATATGTGGAAAAAGGAAAACCGACCCAGAAGTTTTATGTGCAGATCGCAGCTACAAATGTATTTAACAGGGCTTCAAAAGGGCCATTTCGATGTAGCTGATTGCAACTACAGTACAAATAAAAAAGTAGAAATAATGTTACATTTGATGACAAGTATGATCAGATTTTTTTAATCTATCTCTTCATGGAAAGATAATGTTTATCCATTATTATACCAAAGTACAATTTGAGGGTAAATAAAATGCATACTGTTATAGTAACTTTGTATTTTTATTTAACTAATTAATCTTGCCACACAAAATATTAGCACCTTATGTTTACTGTTGACTGTGATGTCACGTAGACACCATGACACCGGCAACCGTTTTTGCGTGAGTTTAGACTTAAAATTAAAATGTCAATATTTTTCTACTAAACCTTTTATTTTCTACAGAAATAAGATATTTTTTGGAAATAGTAAATACTTCCGAACATCATAGAACAGTTTTCCTAAATATGTCATCATGCCTATTATATCAACCAGTTATGAAGATATTGGGAATATTGATATTAAAAATCCAAGCTTTTCGACGCCACTGAACGTTTTTCAAATTCAACTTTTGATGTCTAATTGTTATCTTTTATTTTATTCGGAAAATGAGCATTTTTGTTGTAAAAAATAACATTACCACATATAAACTGACAATAACTCTAAAACTTCACTCTTTTTAAAGAGAAAAGCTGTATTTTTTTTTGTTATACAATACGATTATAATTACTATACATAGTTAGCAAACATTTAAACAATCGTCACATAAACAAACGAATTTTAGAAGCAACCAAAACTCAAAATTTTTATGTCGATGATTTTTTTGAAATTTTGATGATGAATTTATACTTTTTTGTGACCGGATAATTTTATAGCTAGGTATTGTTCGATTAACAAAACTGTGTGTAAGGGTATTTTGACTTTAATACGTAATAATACAAAAATTACTATTCGAATAATTAAATAGGAAAACACTTTTTTCTTAGAAAAATATAATTAGACTCATAAAAATTACAAAATATTAAGTGGCAAAAAAATTCTGGGGCACTTAGTGCCCCCAGTATCCCCGCCACTAGGTGGCATAAATTTATGCAAATTTAGTGAAACTATTAGATTATATCGATATTTTAGGAAATATAAGCTAAGCGATTACACTCTTATTGTATAATCGTAACTTGGAAGAAATTTATTTTTTAGGTTAGCGGGATATCCCCATTGTTTACGCAACGGAAATTAATAATCAGTTCAACTCATTAGTGAAAATAGCAACTGTCTGATCCTGTTTGCCTGGAATGTGACCAAGAATAAATATTTTATTTAAATTTGTAGGCGACCACAAAAGCATTCAGATGCCGCAATTGTTTAGCAATTCATTGTGTATGCATGTGACAAGCACATTAACTCTTCATTTTTTAAACTTTCTTTCGTGGAGACGTAATAGGAAATACTTTGCATAAAATATATAATTTTGTCTGCGAGGTATGCAACACAACAAATGTTACAAATTTAAAAAATACGTAAAATTGTTGTTATATTGAAATGCAAGCGTGTGTGTAATTGGATATTTTCCAGATACTTAATCACTAATTATTTATGCGTAATTTGTATTCTCACTATCATTGAAAATGCAAGTCCTAAAAGACTACAATGAATATTAATACAAGTGCAAAAATTATTTACAAATTAATAAATAGGCATGGTTGACGACGTCATCTACATTTTTTCACATTCTAAAATTATTTTCATTCGTACAGCGTGTAAATTATCACGCTATCTCTACTTAAACTGTACTTTGACTTTAGCATATCTAAATACATATCTATTCTTAGCTCTATGTTAATTTTCTAAATATATTGATGTGAACTTGAAGATGTTTATGACAGTATGTGTTTTCAATTCCAGAATCGGTTAGGAAATTTTATTATCCGATATCCAAACACAGAAAATCCCCACATTCGATCTCAAGTCATTTTTCCCAAATCATTGGCGTTTCCCTGTCAAAATACAACAGGTTTTGGTATTGGAAGGTCGATTGAAAGGCCAACAAGTGTACACAGGCTCCGACCAGGAGACATAGACGTGGTGGGTGCCCTAGGAGACTCACTGGTGGCCGGTAATGGTGCAATGGAAGAATGGGCTCTAGGCACTATGATAGAATACAGAGGAGTATCCTGGTGTGCAGGTAAATGATGACTTATCTTTAGGATGGTTGAAGTTAGAGTAATTATTATTATGAAAGTAATATACTTAATACCAAGACCGTGAATTGAAAGGACTGAATTTAGGTATCACCTTTAGAGAGTTGAACCAATCGAAGACCAGTAACCAACATTGATATATTTGTCAGTATACCCGAAGACCACCTTAAGAACTACAAAAAATTAGTAAAGTTGCTTCAGAGAAATGTATAAGATTAACGTAATAACTGAGATAGGTAATTAAACACCCAATACTTGTGATTTTATTTCAATAACTTTTGGTGGACATATTTAAGAGGTTGTAAAGTAACTAATTAAAATTTCAAACCAGTTTAAATTAAATACAATCTGTTCATCAAGCTGCATTACACCTCTACAAATACAGGGTGTCTCATAATTAACTGCCAGCCCTGAACAGGCCGATTCTATGATCAAAACTCGCGTTGTGATAAATGAATGAAATTTGGTATACACAGCTAAATTTTGATGAGCAATTTGATGGACTAATCCATTTATTTCCACAAGGTCCATTGGGGTGGGTACGGGGGGCCCTTGGTACTTTGCATGTGTAACTTTTTCATCTTTGACCTTTTAACAAATTGGACAGCAAATTCCGTTTTCCCGAACTGTTTTACGTTAAAAAGGTACTCTTGTTTCAAATCGTTATCTTTAACGGTTTCTGAGAAAATCGCTCTTGAATTAATCCCACTTTGGTCAATTTCATAGTAATTTAAACAAAAAATAATAATAATAATTTTCCTTTCCTCTCTTTTCCATTTAAAGGATTAATTTTTATTTAATTTAATTTTTTATTATTATTTTTTTATTAAAACTAGATTAAATTGAAACAAAATATTTTTTTTTGTTTAAATTACTATGAAATTGACCAAAGTGGGATTAATTCAAGAGCGATTTTCTCAGAAACCGTTAAAGATAACGATTTGAAACAAGAGTACCTTTTTAACGTAAAACAGTTCGGGAAAACGGAATTTGCTGTCCAATTTGTTAAAAAGTCAAAGATGAAAAAGTTACACACGCAAAGTACCAAGGGCCCCCCCGTACCCACCCCAATGGACCTTGTGGAAATAAATGGATTAGTCCATCAAATTGCTCATCAAAATTTAGCTGTGTATACCAAATTTCATTCATTTATCACAACGCGATTGAGAGATATTGCAAAAAAATGATTTCCATTCCTCCCTCTTCAATGGGTCCCTGTGCCCTTAGGAAGCATTTCCGGACCCATGTTCATATAAACTCTTTTACTTAGTTTTGATCATAGAATCGGCCTGTTCAGGGTTGGCAGCTAATTATGAGACACCCTGTATATCTACACTGTTTGTACATAAGTAATCAATATCTGGTGGGATATTGATTATCTAAGGGGAATTTGGTTGAGTTGGCAGTATTGTGGGTACACATGTTTGCAAGTGATCCATTTTTAAGTACAACGTCAAGAGCACCAGCCAGACGCCGCCCGGACGCAACAGGGTTCCCGGAAGACGACCCCGGCAGGTTGGCGCCAAGGACCAGGTACTTCTGCGAGCGACTCGACTCCAAAAGGGACTCTCCAGCAAACACTCAAACCGACAATACGTCTTTTTTCACAAGCTTAGTTTTCAATAAAAATACTTTATTTGTACCATTAAGAGAGCGTTTTATTTTTGCTGTACAGCGAAAATAACCCTCACCGGGGAATCCGTGTTTCATCGCTTACTCAAACAGTATTCGGACATTACGCGTCCTGCAGCTCCTTCTGCGGCTGTACAACACCGAACCAGGCATTGCATCGAAACAACACCTGGTCGCTGAAAAGCCGCGTAGATTAGCACCAGAAAGCAACCTTCAGTATCTTATCTACAGGGTGACGAGACATTAGACATTTTCAGAGACTTCTTCGATTTTAATTTTGAAAATTTGGGCAATAGTGTTTTCGGGCATGTTCTTCTCAACTAAAATAATGACGTCCACCTAACGCTTCCGGTTATACTGGAAGTTGACAGGTGGATTAGACGTCTAGGACCCTGCGATTGGCCACCAGGGTGACCAGATTTGTCTAAATAATAAGTTTAGAATGTCAGCTTTTGAATAAATGTTAACCTTTTCCATTCTTTAACAATAAATAATACCAAAATAAACATTCACTGTATGTGTTAAATTGACAGCCATAAACTAGTAACAGATTAGGTGCTTGTTTTGAAGTTCCACTTAATTTCACAGCCATCCTCGAAAGAAATTATGCGATATCCGTTAACTGCACGAAACACAGTAAATATCTTAAAAACCAGAAGAAATAGGTATAGGGAACCATTATGCCATTCGAAAAAGAACAAAATTGTTCATCGGGTTGTGCAAAAATATACAGGGTGTTGCATTTTAAAAAATAAGTTAAGATGGTGTAAAGTTGACTAAGTTCGGCATTAAATTTCTACCATCCTGTATGAAATTAAGTCAATTTGAAATTGTGGCAGGGAAGCTTAGAGTTTTAGTTATGTCCCCTATAAATTTTATCCTCTAACTTTATTATTGTAAAATACACATCTTTTTGAATTAGGCAGTGCTTTTTAATTTTTTTTTTTCAAAAAAATTAAATATAGGTATCAAAAACTTTAAGAATAGGAAACCTTTATGGAAATTCACCTAAAAATTGACGTAGAATCCAAAATTGCAATAATATACAGGGTGTCCCATTGAAAATAACGAAGATGACGTTAACTTCCGGTATAACCGGAAGCGTTAGGTAGACGCCATTAATTTTGTTGAGAATGGCATACCCGAAAACACTATTGCCCAAATAGAAACTGAGGATTGTTTCGTTTTTATGGACGTCAATATTCCATCAAGTCGGACTGCATATTCTCAGTACATCAGAAAAAGGTATCCATTGAGCCTACCTTGTAATTCACCCAATATGAAACTACATATTTAGGGCTCTATCTCAAACTCAGGAATGCAGACATAGAGGAATGACAAATATCCTACAACCTGTTAATAAAAAAGTGCTGTAAATATTGTCTTAATAAATAAGAATATCTTGTAACAAACCATTTATAAAAATAATTTTGAATTGATGATTTTTACTATTAATTATATTACTAAGGGCATATAGAAATACTATGATAAAATATTACTTTGGACACACAGAATTTTATTTTACCTAAATTAGTTCCAATCAAATTTAATAATTTTTTTCATAAAGATTTTTTTTATATTTTGTGTAACTGCTCTGTTTATTTTCTGTCTTATTTTAAAGTAATTTAATACTAACTGAATTATGAGACGTGATTATTTTGGAAAAATTGGAATTATTCTGAATTAATCAAATATTTTCTTTCCGTAGGTGGTCAAGGCACATGGAGGGAATACTTGACATTGCCAAATATTTTAAAGGAGTATAATCCAAACCTAAAAGGATACTCAACAGGAACTGGAGAATTTCTCTCAGCAAACGCTCAATTAAATGTAGCATTTCCAGTAGCTGCTGATGCAGATGCACTACGCCAAGCAAAAATTTTAGTGAAAAAAATGAGAGCCAATAAAAATATTAACATTAGGAGAGACTGGAAAATGATAACACTATTTTTTGGAGCAAATGATATCTGCTCAGCACAGTGCTATGACAGCGAAAAGGCATCTGCAAGAAGTCACGCCAGAAAATTAATACTCGCACTTGATTATTTACAACAAAACCTGCCAAGAACGTTTGTCAATTTAATTCCAGTTTTAGGTAAGGTTCTTCTCAGTGGATTTTTTTATATAGGGCGTTAGAGATAAAGTCGAGCTGGTAACTAAAGATTCTTTGGATGAAGTGACAGGTTGTCAAAGTGAAAATTAAAATGACTTTGATAAGTCAGTTGTTTTTTGGAAAAAAAATTGCTATTCTACACAGACTTGTATATCACTTTTGGTGTATAATTATGACAAAAAAATGGAGAACTGAACGGTAGCCAAATTATAATATAGACAATGTGTCCTTAAACTTGTGACATAATTTTAAGAGGATATCAAATAAGATAAGTTTAATTATCGCTTGTTTTTGTAAATACACTAACCAAATCAGTTTTCAACTTCCAGTGCAGAAGGGTTTTAACGCTGATATTTTGCGAAAAATCGTCTACTACTAAAGCCCAAATTAGTAGGTACATAACTACTATCATTCAAGCAAACACAATGTTGTAGAAACGAGCATATCTATAAGGTTACTGTCATATAAAATATTTCGGGTTAGAATTTTTTATTTTTATACCATTTTTCCATAATCTTGTTCAGATGCTGTAAAAACACTGTATAATTAAATTTCGATAAAATGAATTAGTTAGACCACATTAAGTGATTAATGATAAAAACCTATGCTGCTATTTTTTTTCTGAAAAAACTTTAAAGACTACAAAAACTAACAATTATTTAACTAAAATTAATTTTTAGAATGATGGTTAAGGTATGCGCTCACTTATTCGCGCCGAACGCAACGCACGCAAACAAAATATATTTTCCATTGTTTAATATATCTCACATAAACGAAGTATATTTTCGCAAGAAAAAAGTGGTTCTACGCAATGATTTCAAAGGAATTATCTAGTCCCTCTTGCTCAATTCTTCATCGGGGGGTATAATATTCCTTTGCTTTGATTTAGGTATCTCCAGAGAGTGAAATCCAAATCGTACGACTAATGTATTGGTACATCCACTCCGCGTCCAATCTGGTGATTTGGAAAGTCTCTGGATAATTTTCGTCTTGTTAATCTACCGTAGTGGGGTGGAGTTGCTTATTTCATATATCATAAGGTTCTTCTCTGTTATAGAGGGATATCCTCCAAAATCTCTTATACAGGGTGTCCCAGAATAACGTGTACAGCGGAAGACCACAGTGGACTCAAAATAGGCAGGTTTAGTCTAATTCACCTATATCTGAAATCGCTTCGTTTGGCCGCTAGATGGCCTCAAAATTCGTGAAAATTTTTTGAATTTTGTAAATGACTCGAATACGTATTATTCGATTTCGATTATTTTTGAGGTGTAGACTTTTGCTTTCAATCTACACATTTTGGTGTTATAAAAAGTGTTTTTTAAAACTTATCATTCCTACAAAATTGATGTATGGTGATATATCCGTTTATAACTTTTTCCTCTTTCGGGCAATAATTACTACTATTTTTTATTTGATAGGTGATACCATATGGAAGTTTTTGGACCTTTTGTAGAATTTTGATTAAATGAGCGGTTTGGGTACAAAAAAAATATTTTTCAAATGTCTACATTATCTTGCCACCCATATTACAATACTTAACAGTGCTAGTATGCACTGATTTTGTAGGTTGACTGTAATTTCAGTTTGATCTTTAAGTCATTCTACGTGCCAATTCTTAATGAGTGTTTACTACGATAAGATACCACATGTTACTTCGATATGGATACACACACACATACGACGAATTATTTACAACATGCCTAATTTTATTGAGATAATTAGTAAAAACAATCAAATACAATAAAAATGCTGGAGATAAAAGTAACAAAGTTGATGTTATTACATTTAGTACAACTTACTATAAAAACTGTTCAAAATGACCACCGTTGTTTCTACAACAAAAGTTAATTCGGCGAAAAATGTTAAAAGACACCCTTTGCAGTTTTTGAGGGCAATTTTTAAAACATTTATGGCAGTTTGGACGTGTCTCCCACAACTCTTCTTCAGTGTTATATGTGGAAGCATACACTGTTGTTTTCAAAGTACCCCAAAGATGATAGTCGCAAGGTGTTAAATATGGTGAACGAACAGGCCAGTTGACAGGAACATTATCCCCTCTGCCGATCCACCGATGAAGGAATCTGGTTCAGGTACTGCCAGACATTGACAGTGAAATGTGGTGGAGCTCCATCATCCGTTAATCATAAATGTTATCTCTGAGTAATAACGGCACACCTTCCAGTAACTCGGGTAAAGTGTTTTGCAAAAACTCTAAACAGAATTCGCCATTCAATCTATTGGGTAGAATAACAGGGTCAATAATAATGCTATCAATGCGTTGTATTTGATTATTTTTTCTAAATTTTTGAATAAATTAGGCACCTTGTAAATAATTCTAATTCGTCGTATGTGTGTGTATATCTCGTCGTCGTAAATACTCACCATAGTGATTCTTAAATTGTTAGGTACAATGGGTTAAAAATCAGACTGAAATTACTGTCAACCTAAAAAATCAGTGCCTACTAACACTTTGTTAACTATTATATAATATGGGTGGCACGATATGCAGATATTTAAAAAATATTTTTTTGTACCCAAACCGTTCATTTAATCAAAATTCTACAAGACCCAAAATCTTCCAAATCGTATCACCTATCAGATAAAAAATAGTTGTAATTATTGCCCGAAAGAGGAAAAAGTTGTAAACGAATATTATCACCATACATAAATTTTGTAGGAGTTGCAGGTGTTAAAAAACACTCTGTATAACACCAAAATGTGTAGATTGAAAGCGAAAGTCCACACCCCAAAAATAATCAACTTTGAGGCCATCTAGCGGCCAAGCGAAGCGATTTCGGGTATAGGTGAATTAGTCTAAATCTGCCTATTTTGAGTCCACGAATCTGTGGTCCTCCGTTGTACACGTTATTCTGGGACACTCTGTATATTGTTGGAGCAAAATATGTAGGTGATAATTATTGCCATTCAAATTATCTAGAAATGCAAATTCACCTAGCAATCTATTGCTCATTATTGCAGTCCAATGGTGTTGTGAATATTGAAAACTCCAATAAATTATAAGAGCTACGTTTTGTTTCGTTCGTGTTTATTTAAAAGTCATTTTGTGTTGATATATTTTCCGGTAAAATTAACCACACAAAGTCTTATGGGCCGACCACACATACAGGCTTTACCGCGCGCTTGCCTGCACAAACCAGTTTGTATCGGGAAGCCCGTACGTGTGGCCGGCAAAACGTTATCTCGCACAAACTGAAAAGCGCGGCTTGCGTAAACTTCGACTTGCTGAAGATTTTGTTTGTGCAAATTCGGTTTGCACGGTAAAATTTGAGCGTGTGGACGGCGCACGGTGTTCAGTTAAGAGAAATTGCGGCAGAAAACCTTAAATCTCTATATGATCTCCCTGTAGCCAAATATCTGAGAGTACCAACTCAATCTTTCATGAGGAGATATATACAGTGTGTTTCACTTAAAGTCGGGACACCTCCGTATTTAGGATGGCGTTGGCCGATTTCCAAAATTCTTTTTTTTATGTGGTAGTACTCACAAAGGCCTAATTTTTAATATTATATTTTTTGACATGTGATCTTTTCTACGGCCTACAATCATTAAGAAAAGACCCTCAAAAATTAAAAAACATATTAGGCATTTTTTCAAGAAAAAATTGATAGCATTTTCGATTTGATCACACCTCAAAACCCTAAATACAAAGTTTCATTATTATAGCTTTTACAGGGTGTTCACAAAATAGGTGCAAACTTCGAAACATTTCACTTATTGCAAAGTGTCCTGTATTAACAGTGAAAAATATTTTCAAGGTATTTTATCATAATTTTATTAACCGAAGGTATATCCATGCAGTTTCACTGATTTCACTCATACAGGGTGTTCACAATAGGACAGCCAAATTATATATATTTTTTATTATACCAGAAATGAATTTCACAACGAAATAATATTTAAATATGTATTACTATTTTCTATTAGTCCATCATGCACTCTTCAATTCGTCTCCTCTTATTTTTAATAACTTTTCTCAACTGATGTAGTGTTATTTGTCGAAATGCTTGTCTAATAATATTACATAAATCTTAATTAAAAATTTAACGTGTTTTGTAGGATTTTATGTGATCTAATAATTAGGCCCTTCTTTTTTGCGTAAATCTAAACGCAAGATTTTTATGAATTTTTTAAACAATGATTTCTGGAATTCAATACATGTATTTCCTCTTCATGTAAGACAGAACCTCTACCTTCAATTATATGGAGCACTTATTCATAATGCGGTAATAGTAGGTACGTCATTGGTTGAATGAGTATTTCCCGAGAAAGTGGATAGGTCGCAACAGTCCGTTAGCTGAGTGGCCGTCAAGAGCTCCAGACTTGACGCCACTTGATTTTTATGTCGACAAATAACACCACATCAGTTGAGGAGAGTTATTAGAAATAAGATGAGACGAATTGAACAGTGCATACCAAATTATGTGGACTAACAGAAAACAGGCTCATTTTTGGTATAATAAAAAATATATATAATTTGCTTGTCCTATTGTGAGCACCCTGTATGAGTGAAATCAATAAAACTGCATGGATATACTTTCGGTTAATAAAATTATGTAAAATATCTTGAAAATATTTTCCACTCTTAATACAGGATACTCTGCAATACGTGGAATTTTTCGAAGTTTGCACCTATTTTGTGAACACCCTGTAAAAGCTATAATAATGAAACTTTGTATTTAGGTGAGGTGTGATCAAATCGAAATTGCTATCAATTTTTTCTTGAAAAAATGCTTAATATGTTTTTTAATTTTTGAGGATCTTTTCTTAATGATTTTAGGCCGTAGAAAAGATCAGATGTCAAAAAATATAATATCAAAAAGTAGGCCTTTTTCCCAAATACGGAGGTGTCCCGACTTTAAGTGAAACACACTGTACATATGTACATAGATTCGCGCATTACAGTATTTTGTCGATTTATGAAGGAATCACCAATCCTAGTAATTCAGTATACGCCATTTCATCCATTCTCATATAATTACGCCAATCGTCGGGATCTTCTCTCACATCCTTCATTAAATTTATATGTGAATGTATATTTCTGTTCAGAAGCCATTTTTTGACCAGTTTGAACGATGACGTCTATTTATTATTTTTTTTACTAATGTAAAATAGAAAGAGGCTAATACCAAAAATTCTTTGCTTGGATACATATTCCTGAGAAACGTACTGATTGCTATATGCAGTGTCTGCAGCCTGCATGGTCTTACCTGCATCGTGTGGCCACAACACAGTATTCCGTGTTTATTGCGCGTGCAGGCAAGTCGCTGTCGTGTAGCCGCCGCATTACGAGAGGTTATCCCAGATGACAAATATTCACGATATTAATAAATTTATATAGCTGCATAAATACAAATCCGATTCCCAAAAAATGCACATTCTGTGCAATCCTAAGCAGGCCCGGTCTGGCCAGGTCGGGAAGTCGGCAAAACCCGACTTATTTTGGAAGATAGGCCCCCAAACGACTAACAAGGCGCCAAAAGTATAAGATTTTTGTAAATTCTTGAGATATAGCCACCGTAAATTGAAAAGAAAAAAGAAGAACCTAAAAATGAAAATTGAATCTTTTGTAGAAATGGGATTTTCCCAGGTCAAAAAAATAACACAAATTTTATTATTTTGCCCTATGCCCCTATAAACAGTCCAGTTTCTTTCTGCAGGAAAGAAAGAGAGAAATAAATATATATTCCAAACCGTAAGCCCTTTAAACTGATAACTCCTTTATCTATAAACCGTGGACCTGGAGGAAAAACGAGAGAATTCCAAATTTAATATAGCTTTCTTTAAGCCAAAAAAAGAGTGTGTAGTGCCTATAAGAATACAGATCCCGAGAAGAGAACAGAAAAAATTATGATAATAATAATCATAATTTAAACAAAATCGCGGTTCAAAATCTGAAAGACATTGATAAAGAATTGTCGAAAAATGATAAATCTCTAATAACAGCATGCTTTGATTTGCAGAAGGTGTTAGTAACGCCCAAGTCAGAAGTCGGCGATTTTTATTATAAAAGTAAAATCGCACTTTACAATTTATGATTTAGGCAGCAATCAAGGCATTGCTATGTATGGCATGGAAGTTGTTTATGGATCTTATTAAAAAGTGTTAAAGAAATGGCATACGAAAGGTTATTCTTTATTCCAACAATTAATTGCGGTGGTCAAAAGTATAATCGTTTTGTTTTTGCGATGTTTGCTTATACATCAATGACTTTAGATTTGGAAATAACATATCGTTTTCTTAAAATTAGCCACACACAGAATGAAAATGACAGCATGCATGCTGTGATTGAAGTTGCAAAAAAACGTCACTCTGCTGTATTCACTCCTGATCAGTGGATTAGTCTAATAAAAATGGCCCAAGTTACTGCCCCACAGTACAAAGTAAAATAAATGTCTCAAGAAGATTTTGTAACTTTTAAACCAATGGTAAATAAACAAAACTGGAAAAAAGATATTACTGGAGAGGCTGTAAAAATCAGCAAAATCAGAGAAATCCACTGCGATCCAAAGTCTCCCAATAAAGTATTTTTTGTGTATAATTTTGGAAAAAATAAAGAACTAGACTTACAAACAAAAAACACACGCAAACGCGTAGAATATCAATTTCCAAAATTGTATCAAGGTTTGTTGCCAATTGATGGTAAAAAATTAAGCGGTCTTTTGGGTCTGTATAAGGTCAATTTGATACCACCGATGTATCATGGATTTTACAACTCCCTTCGGCCTGCTAGTAAGACTGACCACAAGGAAGAACGTAATATTGACCAAGAAGATGACTGACTGAATCATAATAAATTTTCCTTTTACGTCATTATTGATTATTAACAAACATTTTTTTATCTAAAAATAGAAAATGTTTCATTTTTCTGTACCTTATTAGTGTAGCAAGTTGTTTCTCAATAAAAATGTTGTCGACGAAAACTGTAGTAATTCATTCAAAATTCATTTTTTTCTTATCCTAAACTATTTTATTTAGATCATCAATAATTAATTAAGACCTAAACAATAATTACTTTGTTAGAGAAAAACCATTTAGCTCTTGTAATAAAAAAAAATAACGAACATTATTATTTTTTCAACTATTTAAATGCAATTATCTCAATATAATCAAATTTGAGATACGACAGTTTTCCTTGGGAAAAACAGATAAAACCAAATAGGCCCCGATTTCGATTTTTCCCGACGGCCCCTGAAAGAGCCAGACCGGGCCTGGTCCTAAGTATGTAAACAATTCTTTAAACAGATTTAACTCAAAACTAATATGTAATCGGATGATATAATGTAAGAGTACTGTCTTATCTACTATCTCTGCAGATGTTCCTAAGAGGATATACTACTGGTCATCATATGGAACGATCAATAACTTAAAATATAACAATACTCATCTGAAGGAGGTAATGATCTATCAATATCTAACATGTTCAAATGTACCTTGAGGAATATTAAATTCTGCACTTTCGGGTTCATTGTGTTTAATTGTTATTATTAATTTAAACATTGTTTAACTCAAGTTGTTATATTACGGTTTGTCCCTCAGAAAAGCTCGGTCTAGTATGATTTTGTTTATATTTTTCATGATCTTTTTTATTTCTTTAATGCCATTGCTTCAATTAGTAAAATACAATTATTACTTCGTCTAATGTTCTCTAAAATTTATTATGCTGTTTCCCACTTCCAACGAATTAATTCTTGATATGCTTCATGTTTATTTATTAATTCTAGAATTTACACTGAATTAAAAAATTATTAAACATTTTCGATTGACTAATTGAATTATTATTATTCTTAGAGTTAGTTAGATCACTTGACGTATTTAACACTGAAATGTTATTTTCTTGGTTGACATGTTAAATTTTGTCGGCAAGAAATAGCTTTGACTTCTGATTTACCAGTATTGTTTTTGGCTGATATTACTTATATTACTACTACTTACTTCAACATCTATCTATATACCTGTAAATTAATAATATACCTATTTATTTTTCAGATGTGTCTGTGAGTGTAAGGATAAAGAGAACTATGATGTGTAGACTTTTACATGGACTTTTCTGTGGTTGTTTTCATCGTGGTGGTAACGAGATGGATATTATAACTGGCTTAACCAAAGAATATCAACGAGCAGAAGAAGGGTTGGTGAGTATTTATTGATTATCGAAATTTGAAATTATTGAATTACTTTAAAATTTAACAAGAATATTTTTTCTCTCCCGACGGGCTACTATTAAGCTACAGTGACTTAGTAATAATAAAAGTCTTTTAAATATTAGTTGCTGAAACACTTATAACTTGCATAATAAAAATAACCCTACGTTATGACGTTTGTCTATTTTCAAGTAAGTACGACGGATAATAACGAATGATGAGCGGATTTGTATAGGCATTTTAAATTGTATCACACTGTATATGTATCACTGTATCACTGACCGTTATTTGATTACAATGAACTGCGGGTAATAAAATACTAATTTTTGAAATTTCATAAAAACCAATATTTTCAGTGAACTTTTGTTAGTATAAAGATGTAATTTTTTAATATTTAGTACAAATATTAGCAGCTACTGATTTCAACAATATTCTTTCTAATAATGGTTTATTGTTATTTATTATTTGCAACTTCACGGGTTCAAAACTTACAGCCTTGGAATTACATACCTTAAGCATAGGCAACTTTAAATACAGCACTGTTTAAATAAAATATAATCGACAATTTTGAGATATAATAATTATTAATATCTCTCACAATAATATGTAATACTTACGTATCCTTATTAATTAATTAATTACTTTCAGCGTTTTTGATAACTAAAGATTTCATTTTAAGTGACAGACATAATTCACTACATTTAACCAAAGAAATATGCAATCTCCTCAAATAAACGTGAACATTGTGATCACAACGTTTGCATAAAAAAACGAATCAGTTGAATTAAAGGAAATTATATTTACATTAAAAATGTATAAAATGATTATAATGTAATGATAATGTCAAAATTCTGACTTTGGGGTACATTTGTTTGTATCTCGCACGGTACAACACAAGATTTTTTTAATTAAAAGTTGCAACTGGAACAATTTAAACGGCAGTCTTGTTTCAAGGAGTGAAAATGACAAGCTAAAATAAATAAAAGTTGATATAATAATATTTCCAATTCTTTATTTTTATAATTAAAAAAGGACAACGACACGCGGTGTTCCCAAGCGGTCACCCATCCAAGTACTAACCGCGCCCGACGATGCTTGACTTCAGTGATCGGACGAGAACTGGTACTTTACATCGTGGTATGGCCGTTGCCCACAATTAAAGTATAATTTTCGGAGTATATGGATAAAATTTAAAATAATAATTGCACCTGTTTCAAGATAAATACCTTAAAATTTTTTGAAAAAAAAAAATTAATGCAAATCGCATTTTGATTGGTTCACAATTTTGTACAGTAATTTTTAGATTTGCACTTGAGAAAACCGTCACTTACAATCAGTGGCGGCTGGTGCGGTGGGGAGGGGGTTCTCAGGCGCCGCCACTCCTAGATATTGACGTATTAAAAAAAATTAATTAAGTTGGATTTAGAATTTAAGATTAGCCTTATGAAATGTATTAAAACAGAAATGTTAAATTCATAATTAGTCCAGACGGTATCTGTTTCAAAAAGCCATATTTGGGTGTATCGTATATCCACGGAGATTTTTGGCTTTTTGGCTTTCAAATATCACTAGAAATGAAAATTTTTCTATGCGCATAAAAAAAAAGTGGGCTTAACTTTTGGCGGCACAATACATTTAAAAAATTGGAAAAATGTCATACTTTTCTTCCTATTTAATTATGTATCTTTTCAAGAGTTGATTGTAGGCGAAAATGGAAGAGGAAAAAAATGTTTGCAATTAAATTTTTTACAAAACATGTCTAGTTACAAATCGAATAAATCATGATTATTATGGTAAAAATCGAAAAAATCGCAAAAATGAGGTTAAAAAATAATACTTTTTAGGGAATTTTTTTGGGGTATTTAAATTGGGTTTAGGACCTTTATTCAAAAAACTTCATGTTATGTAAAATTATCACAGCAAATTTCATCAAAATCGGTTCGATAGATTTTGCATAAAAATTTTGCAATCCAGATTTTGAAAAAAAATGCAAATTTTCAAAATTTTGCACAGCAAAAACCAAGGCCCTTAGATATTTAAAAAATTTAATCACATATAGAAGGGCTCTCAAGCTTTCAAACTTTTTTTGAAAAATTCGAATCCGTCAATTAGGAGAGCTCTGGCGCTTGTTTAAACATTGGTCGAATGTTTGTACTTATAAACAATTAGAACTTTGTGAATATTCAATCAAATTAAATTTTTTAAAGCAGGTTTTAGAAGTTCTTGGAAAGACGCTTCTTTTTAAAAAAAAAAAACAGATCGATTGATTCAATTTCGAGCAGACCGAAGCGGCCGCGCTCTCTGCCTCCCCACCACCACCACCCGTACGATTTTATTGAATTTCTCGCTTGCATAAATAACTTTAAACACGTTTTAAAGTAGGTTACCAAGGAAGAAAAGTATTGTAATCTTAGACCTGGTAAGTACTCGGAATACCAAAGGTATTTTTGGAAAAATTAGCCCGGATGTCCCAGTACATTTAGTGTAAATGACGGCTATAACTACGTAACTAATTGATCAATCGATCTGTTTTTTTTTAAAGAAGCGTCTTTCCAAGAACTTTTAAAACCTGCTTTAAAAAATTTGATTTGATTGAATATTCACAAAGTTCTAATTGTTTATAAGTACAAAAATTCGACCAATGTTTAAACAAGCGCCAGAGCTCTCCTAATTGACGGATTCGAATTTTTCAAAAAAAGTTTGAAAGCTTGAGAGCCCTTCTATATGTGATTAAATTTTCAAGTATCTAAGGGCCTTGGTTTTTGCTGTGCAAAATTTTGAAAATTTGCAATTTTTTTCAAAATCTGGATTGCAAAATTATTATGCAAAATCTATCGAACCAATTTTAATAAAATTTGGTGTGATAATTCTACATAACATGAAGTTTTTTTGAGCCAAGTATAAAGGTCCTTTACCCAATTTAAATACTCCAAGAAAATTCCCTAAAAGGTATTGTTTTTAACCCCATTTTTGCGATTCTTTCGATTTTTACCATAATAATCATGATTCATTCGATTTGTAACTAGACATGTTTTGTAAAAAATTTAATTGCAAACATTTTTTTCCTCTTCCATTTTCGCCTAAAATCAACTCTTGAAAAGATACATAATTAAATAGGAAGAAAGATATGACAAGTTTCGATTTTTTTTAACATATTGTGCCGCCAAAAGTTAAGCCCACGTTTTTTTTATGCACAAAGAAAAATTTTCATTTCTAGTGATATTTGAAAGCCAAAAAGCCAAAAATCTCCGTTGATATACGATTCACCCAAACCAAAACAGATACCGTCTAGTCTAAATGTGCAGTCAATTTAACACGACTTGTAAAATTAATTTGAAATAAACAGAATACTTGGGCTCCTCCAGCTTGTCCCTAAATCTGTAAAGTATTTAGAGCGGTGGTCATGGTTACCGTGGTGCAGCAGTGAAAGGCGGAGTGGGAGTAGCGCATATTTACTATATACATACGAGTAGTTTAGGCTCTATTTAGTCCGCTCGTAACCTGAACTGCTTTTTTTCTTATTAACTGTAATTTGTTTACACCCGGTGTAAAATTATGTTACTTACGTATTGTTTCTTGTGTTTTTTAAAAATTGTAAAAGTTTAAATTAGATTGTAAAGACAGACTAACATCACTTACAAAGCTATCTACTGAAAAGTCAGTGGTGCGAGAAATAGCAAACTTTAATGAAAAAATAATTGATTTATTTCTGGCAAAAGCAGACTTTCACTATTAAAAAATATATGTTGATCACATTTTCTTTATATTTCAATAGTACTGAAAATAAAACTACCCAAATATATTTTATTATTTTTTTTTTCAATACTTTGTACCTAAATTTTTCCGCCCTCCCTGTTATCGAAGTCAAGAGCTACTGCTTATAATTGTTGCAAAATTGTATTACAAATATGAAAGACCAACCCCTTTGTTAAAACTTCTCTAATGACTTTTTGTGAAATATCTGAACGTATCTTACTATGTTAAAACAGCATATTTGAAGAAAAAAATATTCTTTTAAAATTTTCTATTTTTCTTAGATCTTGGAGCTAATTGTTCATTAAATAATAATGAGAACATTTTATTTTTGTTCGGTAATATAAACTTCGGAATAAAAGAAATAATCAATAGGATAAATAAAAAAATTACCTAAACACAAATACTTTTATAGTTGATATTCCAAGAACCAACTTACATCCTTAGTCGAACACCACATTATGTACAATAGGTAATGGTTTCCGAAGTATCGTCCAACAGATTGCCAATGTAACAGTAGACAGTTTTTTTTTTTATTAAAGAAACCAAGTACCTATCTTCTTTCTTCTTTCTTAATACAAAATTATTTCTATTTCACTTGAGCTTCATTAATCATAATCGTCAAAGTTTTCCGTTTTAATTTATTTATACTATAAAAATATTACATGTTTAGTTTATATTTTTTGCATATCTAGTCAGGTTTAATAAAATACCAACATTTCACGTACTAAGACTATTTTTGTGATATTTTGAAGTGTATAGAGATACTTAGAAAAGTCAAGAAATTACGCTTTAAGAAAGAGGTTAACTCCACATCTACGACACTGTAATTAAAATGCGGAAATTGATTATTTTAAGTGTCAAAATGAAGGAATTACTGTATCAAATTATGTGAAGATATTAGAAGCCTTTGAAATATTAAAGAATATATTTTTTCAAAAAATTTGGAGGCCTATAAAATGAAATGAAACATTTTGTAGGTAAACTTGTTTATTATTCTTAGTACCTATACATATATTTTTATACATTATGAACTAATAGTTTCTCTTCGTAGTCACCACTTGAAGCTAAATATTTTTGTATTACTTACTAATTGAAAAAAAAAAACTGTTTTGCCTTTTGACACATCCGCCTCCAAACCGGCTTCCACCCAAGAAATTATAAATATTTTTCAAACAGGTGGCAATAACTGGTGCTGCTATAATCAAACTTTATGTCGAATAATACGTAAATTTCTC